GACTCTCTGTCTGGGACTCTGCTGAGATGATAGGCCAAGTAGTCACTTTAGACTTTTCAACTTTAAGGTCTTCTTTGTCTGGCATTCTGCTCCCAAATCCAAGAGGGTTTACCTACCAAGCCTCTTCTGAAATATCCTCAAAGGTAAGGGACTCCAATATGCTCTCAGTTCTTGTTTTCTGGAATTCTCCTCCAGCCATAAGGGACCCTGGAAAGGATGGATTTCTTGAAGGCACTGGTATATCTATCCTCTGGAGTTTTGGGTTCACTGGCCTCTTTGAACTTGAGGCAAATCTCCACTCCTCAGGTTCAGTCGTAGTGATGGGCCCTGGCTGAGATAGGGGGTAATTCAATCAAGGGATGCAGGGCTGGAGTCTCCTCTAAGGGAAGCTCCCTTTAGGGGCTTTGTCTGGGGACCTTGTTCATCCGAGATGATGTCTGCAGGGGGACAATTCTTGCTAGCATTGAAGCTAAAATTTAGTGGTCCCACAAGTGGTAGTTCTGGGCACACGCTCCAGCTGTGTACTGCCTCCTCTCCATCCCTGAGCAGTTGGCCCCACAGGGGGCTCAGCACATTGGGGCAGCCCGACAGGAGCTGCTCTAGCACCAACAACTCCAGACTCTTGTTTCCTGTAGTTCACAGCCAGCTTCAGCCAGTGGTGGCAGAGTTCCTGAAGCTTGCTCGGGGATGCCCATGGTTGTGGTGATATTTTATTTGTATGTTAATAAATAAAGTTGCCTGGAGATCAGAGGTCATAGCCATTTAGCAGAAGTCCGGCAGTGGTAGCACACACCCTTAATCCAATCACATGGCAGGCAGAGTCTCTATGGGGTCAAAGACACAGCCAAGCATGGTGACATGAGCCTTTAATCCCAGTACCAACCATAGAGACCTGGAGGTCTGTATAGACAGGCAGTGACAGGGAAGTCATGTGACTGGGCTTAGCCAATGAGAAAGCAGAACAGAAAGGCAATAAAAACACAAGTCAGACAGGAATAAGCTCTCTCTGTGGAAGCTACTGCTGGTGGTAAGCTAAAGCTAGTTGTGGCTATTGCTCTGATCTCTTTGGCTATTTCCTCTCTTTGGCTCTGTGTTTCCTATTTACTAAGACTGTTTAGAAATTCATCTACACATGGTCCATGTCCTCCTGATACTGGGAGCATCTGAGGAGCTTGTGGGCCACCTCTGGCAAGGCCTGGCCTCTGCTCACCTGGAATCCTCCTGGTCAACCTTCTCGTCTTCATCCAGTTCTACTGTTCTGAGCTGCTCTTGTTCCAGGGCATCTGGGACTGGTTCTTCCAGCATCTTTCACACCTCCTGCAGCTGGACCAACTCTCAGGTCCCTTTGCTCAGTTTCTCCCACATCCATGGAGTCCAGAGGATGAGATGTCTGGGAGTCCTTGGAGGGATCCAGAACAAGAGCCAGCACAGGCCAGCCAGGGGAAGGACTGCAGAAAAATGCAGCGTGAGTGGTCTTTGCTTTTCCATGTACCTTTCAGAATTGGTTTGCCAGTTTCTTCCCAACAGCTATCTGGAATTTTTATTGGGTTTGTAATGAAATTAGAGGTGAATATGGAAAGAGTCAGTATCCTAACAATATTGAGTCTTCTAATTTCTAAATATGCTATAGATTGCCATTCATTTAGGTATTTCTGTAAATCTTCTTTAAAAATTAATTGTAATAATTTTCACTGTTTGTACATGGAGATTATGATAAAGTATTAATTTTGTAAACCTCATCAAATTCACTTGTTAGTTGTAGGCCATAGAAAAAATTTTTGAGACTTTTAGAAAAGATTGTCTGTGTAGGTAAAATCACTTTCTGGCTATATAAGCAGACTTATCTCTAGCTTTCCACTATGAATACCTCCCATTTTTTTTACCTCCTTACCACACTGGCTGGATCATTTAGTTAGGCTTGGAATACTGGAGGTGACAGGTGACATTCTCTGTGCCCAGCTTCAGGAAGAAAGTCTTATCCCTTCAATACTGAGTAGGCTAGCAGCTGTAGATTTCTATAAACAGCTTCTACTAGAATGTTCTTTCTGAGTTTACCTAGGGGTTAAGATAAATAAATGTGGAACTTTATTAGTTCTGTCTCTACAGCTGTTGAGATGATGGAGTCATCTCTGATTGCCTGTTGATTTGAATTATTACATTGATTGATTTTTTTTCAGGTTGGACCACTCTGTGATTCTGGGATATGTCTCACAGGGTGATGACACACTGAATTCCTACATGGCTAGTTCAGTCTGTTAAGGATTTTTGCATTTATGCAACAGTATCATGAGGGTATTGCTCTGTAGTTTTCTTATAATACCTAATAATCTGATAATAACATGGTGTTTAGCATCAGAATACTGTGGGGTTTTCTTCTTTATGTTATTGATTCTACTTATTTCTGCAGTATATATATATATATATATAATATAGTTGTATATAACTTGACTTGCTAAAAATCTGCTTTCTTTTCCAGTTTGTATTTACGTCATCAATTTTCTCTTTTTCCTTCTTTAAGGCTGATTTTCAATCAACTAAATGCAGAGGGGTGCCTTGTTTCAAATGGTTCTTCCCTGTTTCCTCTTTCCCCATCTTTATCCCTCTTCCTGTCCTAACTCCCCCTCCCCCTCACTCCCTCACCCCCTTCACACCTGCCCCCTCACCCCTTCACTCTCACCCCCTCATCCCCACCCCCTCACTCCCCCTCACCCCGACTCCCTCATTCCCTCACTCCCTGCCCCCCCCCCCCCCCCAGTCCGTTTCTTTCTCTTTCCCTATTTCCAGAAGCATGGTCCAGTCAAGTGATAATCTTTCATCTCTGCAGTTTGCTTTCAGACTGATATTATCTTTTAGACTTATTCAGAAAGGAAGAAGGTTTTTCTTTTGTTTCTGTTTCTTTTCTTTCTGATAATAAAGGTTTCATAGAAAAGAACTTTCATAAAAGAAATAAATTCATAACAGGGCAGTGGTGGCACACACCTTTAATCCCAGCACTCAGGAGGCAGAGGCAGGAAGATCTCTGTGAGTTTGAGGCCAGCCTGGTCTACAGAGTGAGTTCCAGGACAGTCAGGGCTGTTACAGAGAAACCCTGTCTTGAAAAACTAAACAAACAAATAAACAATAAAAGAAAAGAAAAAGAAAAAAAATCTCATTTTATGTTGCCGAGACAGCAAGGTCAGCTCACTGATGTCCATTCCAGTAGGCCCCCTGAAGGAGGACCAGGTGCTCTTAAGAGTTACCCATCAACTGTGATTATGTGCTTGCTCTGATACCCAGTAGCAAGGGTTGCCAACTTGGATGGAGAGTTTGTGTGCTGTTACTGTCTCCTACGTACAACCGTAAATGAGTTCACATTTTAAAAAGTCTGCTTCCGTCAGAACTTCTCTTTTGTCTTTTCTGAAGTTAAAAGCAGAACCCTCCTAGGTTATAGTTGTGAAGTTTCTCACGTTGGCTTCATTGTCTGTACTTGACATACGCTTCCACCAGCCCAAACCCAGATGACCTTCTCCTCAGATGCCCCCACATGGATTTTGACTTTTCCTGGAAGGAAGTCCTGGAAATCAATGAGGAGGCAAAAATGAACTGGATTCTTCCTCATTTCTGTCTTCCTTTCTTCTTTCATAGTCCACTGCTACTCTTGTTGGGTGGGGCCCTGTTTTTTTCTTTGGGATCCCGAACAACTGGATGGTTTTGAAGGCCAGATGATCCCAAGACATATTCTATCATGCACAACTGTACTTCCTCCAGTTTTACTCCTAAGTTAGGTGAAAGTGTGTGTGTGTGGGGGGGGGATCCAGGTAATTTCAGCATAGAAGAAAATGTTTCCATAGATGATTTCCTGAGCAGATAACACAAGGTGTACGCAAAGTCAAGGTTAGACGATGCTTTAATTTCTGCCCATGTGCGGAGGTAAGAATTTGTGTTAGCTCAAGATGTGGTGGCATCCACTGCTGTGGTTACCCCTTTCCTTCCCAAATCATCACTGTTTGGGCTGCCAAGGCCAGAAGCACTGAATATGTAGATACAAAACCAGAGATGTAACCACAGGCACTGTGGAGAATGACTTCAATGTGGAGCCTCCCCCATCCAGGCACATGGGGCAGCCACAACAAAGGGGCTCTGAACAATGCCCATTGTGCTGACTTCTTAGCCCACAGAGATGTGGTCCCTCAGATGCATGTCAACAAAGGGATGAATCGAACTGGGTGTTGGCAAACAAGCCCGCATTGTATTCCCTCTTCCAAAAATATTCCCTAAACTCTCCAAAGCCCTGAGCACTAGGGTATAAACCCTGCCTGGCAAGTCAGCAGATAAATACCAATGCCCCCCAACATGTAGACTTGCCCAGCCCTTGATCTGAGCATGACCCAAACAGGCAGCATTTAAACATTTAATACAAGTAATTTTCATCCAGGAACGGTCTTGCCAGCAAAGGGAGTCTAGAGGTCTGCTCTGAGAGGGGAGGCGTGTGGAATGTCTGACATATTACCCAGCCGAGTGCCATGAGAGCGGCCCATTTTTCTTTTTCCTGCCTTACCATTTAGCTGATGTAATTACACACTTGTGTGATGACAGTCTGTTATTTACCATGAGATAATGGGGTGGTCCAAGCAACCGGGGCACAGTGACTGCAAGGGCACAGATCACTGAGTTTAATGGCTGCATGACCTTGGAAATTATAAGGGGTCAGAATTGCATGACAAGACCACTTATCTCAGGTCTGAGCATCCAAGAGCAGCAGGGCCACGTGGTGCTTTGCCTTCCCAATCTCTTCTGGAGGAAAACACTGTAGCCCTGGGAGATGATGCATCAAGAATGGTCCTTGTACTTGTCTTTTTGCTTTATGGTGTACAGGGGAGTCCAACTCCGGGCCTGCTCATGCCAGGCAGGCACTGTACTGCCAAGCAGTATCCCTGGCCCTCCTTTTTTTTTTTTTAAATTTGAGACAAAGACTCATTTAGGTCATCAGGCTGGCCTTATGATCTACCTACCCTGCCTGCCAATACTCTTAGCACTTGGGATGAGAGGCCTGTGCCACCAGGCCTGGAATCCCTCTTCTCAACTCTTTCATCCTATACTCTTGGAGAGGGAGGAACAATTTTTTTAATTTAGGCTTTGCAGGGTCTCTCAAATATTCAGTTCTTCCAACATGTCAGCCACAGACATGCCAGTAGGGCTGTGTTCCAATCTGATTTTATTTCTGGGCACAGAACTATTTGAATTTCTTGTAGTTTCTAAGTGTGATAAAATATTATTTTACTATTCTTGTCATTAATATGTATAAATTAATGACATAATTTGCTATATATCTATCTATCTCTATTTATATCTATCGATCTCTATAATCTATATATCTCTCATTCTTAGCTCATAGGCCAGTCTGAAATAAGCTGCAGGCTATAATTGTCTATGGTTTGCAGGACCTTGCTGTGGAGTACCTTAGTGTGCCACCCAGAATTTGGAAATAAAGTGCCTTCAGGTTTCCTTCCAGACGTGAGAGTCAGGTGTGGAACAGCAGCCAAGCTTTTGGCAGAGACTAGGGCTTCATCGGCAGCCGGGCCCCCTCTATGATTTTCCTTGGTGAAGGAAGACAGAAGACAAGAGCGTGGTTAATGCACTGAGGTTTCCTTCCATCTTGGTTTTCTCGTCCTCTCCAGGCCTGTTTTTGTGTGCTAGAGCTCAGCACAGGAACAAAGCAAGGACGACCAACTCCTTGAAGAAACAGTCCTGCCTCTGTTCTCGTCTATATTCTGATTTTGAGACTTCCTCTTCCTCCTTAGCCACCTGTTCTGGGAGTCCTCTTGGTTTTGAGGTTTGTAGTGGTTTCGAAGCAGAGAGAAACTTGAGGATGTGACAAGTCACTGGGTGTCAGCATGCCAAAGGACATTGTACATTGGGCTGAGCCGCCAAATAAAAGCTTTGCCTTGCCCATTTCTCTCTTGCCCATTTCTCTGTATTGTGTCTGCTTTGAAAAAAAAAACAAAAAAACTAAACAACAACAACAAACTCTTCCTCTGCTATCTTTTGGTGTCATCGGAGACATTATGCTTTTGCGAATCGTACAACAAAAGAAATCCTTTTGAACATCTGTGTGTCAGGCATGGCTCTACACATGAGAATATAATGTGCTCTTTGAATTAGACCCTTGTAATACTTTAACCACAACTCAAGATCTCTTTATTTATTTTTGGCTAGGGCTGGATGACTTTAATTCTGTTACCTCTGCTCTGAAGGTTTCAGGCCCTGTGACCTCCAATAAAAGAGTAGTAGGCAGGAACAAGGAAAAGTGAGAACAGGTCACCAATGACCCCCTTCTGTCTCTGCCTGTCCTGAGCCTGTCCTTTCTAAGGCTGCACAACATGCTACCAGCCTTTGGCAGAGATCATGGCTTCGCCAGCAGCCAGGTTCCCTCTCTGATTTCTTTGGTGAGTGAAGACAGAAAAGAACAGTTCTGCTCTGTTTGATGCGCAGAGGTTTGGAAAGGATCTTGGAGTGCAACCTATTGTCTGATTAGACTGAATGCCTTCATGTCAGTCTTCATCAAAAGGTCACGTGGCTCCTGGAAAGGCTCACTAGTTTTATTGGTCATGGGCAGCACTTTAGTAAGCAAGTAAACATAGCCTTATCCTCAGCCTGCACTATACAGATGTACAAAAGGGCCCAGGGCCAAGGCCCCAAAGACAGTCTAGCCTGGTAATATCCCCTGTTTCTGTTTATCCAATGGTAAGCTGCTTTTTCTATGGCCTGCCTACTCAGAGGTGGGTGGAGACAGCACAGCATTATGGAGGTTTTCCAGGCTACAGGGAGACAGTATATGTGGGTTCTGGAGTTTCTAACAGTGACTGAGAATTTGCTTTTCTGACATCATTTTTACCTGCTGCTGTGGCACAGTGCTCCCTGACATGGAGTGACTTGGAAACATGGGAGCTGCAGTGACAGCTGCTTTTGGTCTTTGTGACATCTTGTCCCTAGCTTTTATGGTTTTGCCTCTGTCCCTGTTTCTTCTTCCTCAGTCCACATGTGCAAACACACATGCATGTGCATACGTACCTGTACCTATACACAATTTCCCACGTAAGACCAAGAACTAGTTGAGACTGTCACATCAAATTGCACAAAGTGTGACTGTATGAAACAGACAGGTGATCAGAAGAAAGGACCATCCATCTTCAAGTCCTGGGTGTTGTCCTTCTTTCTGGCTTTCTTCATTAATCCCGGCAATGGTTTGCATTTATACGTCCTGTGCCGATTTTTAAACCAGAAATACAGTGGTTGGTTCTACGTAAAAGCCATCAAAACCATTCATTTAGTATATCATATGCTATCTGATTCCTGGATGCACCCATGCCGCTGAGCTCAAGGTAATGGATTGGGTGATGAGCAAGAGAAGAAGAAAGACTTCCCACTTACTGTGCCACTAACTAGGCAAATGGTCTTGGACACATCAGTGGACTTCTCTGGGACCTGACTCAATGTCGACTGTTGTGTCTTATTTAGAAGCTAAGAATGAGCCGCGGAGATAATGTGTGAAGGATAACGTTTGTGAGTAGCAGACATGATTCCTGGAGGGATGCTCTGTCTGTGGCAACACTGTTAGAGGGATGAGTGAGACAGGAGTGAATGGGATGGCATTCACAGGACATGAGGAGCAAGTATCCCTGGGCCACCCTGGGCAAAAGGTTGAATCTTTGAGGGTTGGTTTCCTCATTTCTTTTCAAACAAAGGGTTATTTGGAATTCTTACTGTTTGGGTAATAATTTCTCAGTTTTTCAAGGTCACTTCATTTGCATGCATATTTAACTCTATGTGGGAGGCCTGTGGAAAGGTCAACATATGCTAATTTACATAAGTCCTTGGGTAGTTGGCTGCCCTGTGAACAGCCATCAGTGAGGAGATTTGGACTAGGGCCCAAGTCTATTTGGATAAGCTTTTGAATTGATCCTTTGGGACCATTTCCACGCTAGGACAGCACACTGACAGGTACTACAATGATGGCCTTTCTAAATGTCTTTGTTCGAACATAAGAATCCTACTGTAAACACAACAGGAGTTGCATTACCTTACAAACTATATCACTGAAAAAGAAAAGAAATATATCACAGTATTTCTTATAGCGGGTACAATAAACCCTTAGAAGCATTGTGACAAGGAGACAGAGGGTGTTCTTGACACACTGAGGCAGTCCATGGCATAAGCGGCTGCTTCTTCCATCCAGCTTGTCTCTAATCCTTCTGGATGAACTCTAGTATGAAACAGCAATTTCTTTATTCCTCAGGCCAGTAGAATTTTGCAGGGTTCTTGCTGTATTGTGCATTGAAAGCCTTCATTAGCAATGCAAGCCCTTCAGAAGGTAATGAATGACTCATACAAGCTCTAGAAATAGCACTGTGGAAAATTGCTTTTATGTAATCTTTCTCAGAGTGTCATTCTGTGAATGCTTATCATCCCAGCAGAACACAAGTGGGAAAGATCAGATCTTGTGGGGACTCTCAGGACACGCTGTGTCTCAGAGTCACACCATTGCCTCACAGGCCTCTATAAACCACTAGAAATTTGAGAGCATTTTACGCACAACAGGGGAGAGAGTGAGTGAGGGGCCAAGCTGTGAAGTGAGATCAAGCTCTGGTTTCAGTACAGGCATTTAGCACATGGGCTCCAATCAGGAGATGCTTTGTGTTCGTTGTTGTTGCTGTTTTTTATTTGTTTTTGGTCCAAAATTTAATCTTAAATGTTTCTAAGTTGTGGTAAAGTATACTTAACCTAAAACTAATACAACTCAGTTAGATAAAGTATATATGCGTTATTGTGAGACCATCACCACCATCCAACCATCCATCTCCAGATCTTTTTGTCTTCCTAACTCAAAACTCTTTACCTATTAACCAGTAACTCCCCTCCCACTTCTGCTTTCCTGGAAACCAGCATTCTACTTCCTGCTTGTTGGATTTTTGACTCTTCCAGGCATCTCAGGTAAGTGAAGTCATCTAGTATTTGTCCTTTCGTGATTAGCTTGCTTTACTTTGAAAACCATGTCCAAGGTGCAACCATCTTATATTGGATACTGTTCTAAGGGTGAACAGCCTTTTTTAATTGTTTCCCATTCTTTTAGGTATATGCCCAGTGGAATTGTGAACAATAAATTCTTAAAATTAAAAGGGATGGTTCTGAGGTAAGTGTATCAACAATTTGAAAGGAGAAAAGGCAGAGACAGGTGATCATCCCCAAACCTAGGGTAGTTACCCAAGCAAGGTCAGGGAGGAGAAAGGAATGGGCCTGTTGTAAACAAAGGCATACAATTGATGAGTTGTTAAAGTAGGCTTTTGAGCACTCATTGGAGGGGTTACAGCCAGCTTGGAAGGGACTTTCAAAAGCTAGGACAGGGGCCAATGGAGGTGGCTCATAGGTAAGAGTGCTTTCTCTGAAAGCATGGGGAGCTGAGTGTGAATCTCCAGAAACTGCACGAAAAGTTGGACATGATTGCGCATGCCTGTCACCCCAGCATTGGGGTGGAGACAGAAAGATCCCGAGAGCTCTCTGGCCAGTCAGCTTAGCCCACACTGGTGAGCTTCTAATTCACTGAAAGACCCCATGTAAGGCAATAAGGTGGAGAACAGTAAGGGGGAAGCATACTGTCTGGCCCTCCATTGCTAGATGAGCTCCTGCCATACCTAATTCTGCTCCTTGCCTGGATATGGTCCACTTACAACACGAGTGTTAAGTATGAGAGACATTTGTGTGACATTAGAGAATTCTGGGCGTGGAGCTGTTCTGAGGTGGTGAGGAGGAATACCTTCCTTTTAGCTTTCTGGATTCTGTTGGCACTTGGGGGCCAAATCAGACACTGGAACGTAACTCGTGCCTCCCATAGGGTCCCCAGAGGTGATCCTCAAAAGATACTGTATACAATCCTTCTGGCTGTGAGGAACTATGGGTGAGAGTTCAGATGAAGTGAGAATGGACCTGAGAGCCATAATTGTAGCTTCTGATGGTTACTTTATGTGTTTGGAAGTTGTCTGACATGGTCTTCCCTTGTTGGCACAGGCCCAGCTAACACTCCAAGGATCTGCCTCTTGTTCCACATTGCCACTGGCGCTGAGCAATGACCAAAGCATGCTAGATAATGATTAGTCTTGGAACGATTAACATCCTATGTACTTGGGTTTTAAAAGACTTATGTAACTGGTGTTCTACTTTTTCCTAGAATCTTTGCCTCTAAGGACTCGGTGTTGCAAAATGAAGAAGAAAAGGGATCCAAATATAATGGTACATCCTAATATTTGATTAGCACCCCTAGCCAACTGATAAACACATATTCCACGCTCTGAAATCCTACAGGAGCACACCCAAATGCTTCTAGGGGCCCTTTGCCACGTAATTGTTGATCCTTTGAGCCTGGATTTCAAGAGGGCACATTAGTTAGTGGCAGGGGGATGGTGTGTGTGGCCAGGGATGGGGCTTGGCCCTATGACAACTTGGAAGGCTTGCCACTGATTTAGAAAGAACAGCAACCCGTGTTCTGAACAGAGAGGGGGTGGGAGGATAGAGCTCTCTTTGGAACACTAATGAGAAGAAGATGAAACCACTTCAAAAAGAGGCCCAGTCAGTGGTAGAGGAGGGTGGATGGACATGTGGCTGGCTGATGGTTGAAATCTCCACAGGGTCATGTCTCATATCTCGAGCAGACTGACAGGGATCAGTGGGGGGATCCCTTTGAGTGTCCAGGCTGCTGTCTGTCATCAGAACCTGTGTGCAAACACAAATGTGTTTTTGTTTAGTGGTCCAGATTTCTCAACATTTTGATCTCTGGCTCCTTTAGGCTTGAGTGGCAGTGGAAGACAGTAGATTTTTGTGTTATGTTGGATGTGAGACATAAGCAAGAAGAGCAGAAATTTCCTTTAATGATTTTTTGCAAATCTGTGGAAAGAAGGTGGCTTTAGGAATGGCGTGGGGGGGGGGGGGGCAACAGAGCTAACCTTGGCTATGTTGCAATGTAAGCAATTTGAAGTGATGATGTATTATTGTAACTGTCAGGCTTTCTACTTCCTCATTTCACAATGGGGTAGAAGTGAGGTGGGGGCCAGTGGATTAAATGACCTTTTCTCAGGATCCAGAGAACTTATTAGATTTTGCAAAGCCACTCAAGTAGATTGGACTATGTCATATCTTATGTATAAAGACTTTCCACCTCAGAAGAGGTTTCCTGCTTTTATTACTTTTCCAGGAATGGCCAATGGCTGCCCAAATGTCAAGAGCTCCTGGGTTAGATTGACAAACATCTTCCCCTTTCACAAGCCGACTGCGTGTTACCCGGGTCATCCTGATGTATTCTGAGTGGTAAGCTCTGCTGATGTTGGCCTAACTCTGCCCTGTTTTCATTGTCAGGTGAGAACCATGACAGGTATGTGAGCTTCCCTGCCTCCCTCTCATTGTCTGAATCAGTTGGCTTCTCTCGAGCAAAACAACTGAGAAACAGGAAATATGAGTCTTGAGCCTCCTTAGTGTCAGCTGGTCCTGCGTCTGCCTGGTTATCTACCCCTGCAGGAGCTCAGCCAGCCAGGTTGTGAGGCCCAAGGAGGCTTTCGCTCCTAGCTTATCACTTACAGGACCTTTAAATTAAAAAGAAAAATTATGGTATGTATGCTTGGTGTGGGAGTGTGTGTGCGTTCATGTGAGTGCGTGCATGCATGGGTGTGCACATGCCAATGCACACATGGAGAGACAAGAGAACAAGGTTGGAGAGTCAGTTCTTTCTCCAGTATGGGGTCCAGGGAGTGAATGAAGGTCGCCAGGCTTGAATGGCAAGCACTTTTACATTCTGAGTCATCTTGCCAGCCTAGGGAACCATTTTTGGCTTCCACCATGACTCTAGCCCTTTACTACAACGTGCCCATTCTAAAGCCTGTCCTTTGAGCAACCGGTTGATGGGGAGTGGACTTTGGGCAGACAAAACCCTGTTTGGGGGACAGCTGAGGAATAGATCCCCTATGCAGGGTCAGAAGGGACCAAGCAAGAGGTCTGGAGTCCTTTGGCAAAGAGAGTTTCTGGTGCAGATTTCCCAGTGGGTGAGCTTGCTGGGGACACCCACAGAAGCGGCTCATGGGACCATTCTGCCCACAAGCATTTTAAAAGCAAAACACAATCAAATAATCCTCTGTTCAACATACACAAAATTCACTGTTTCAAAAATCACTTTCAGCGTGACTTTTGTTCCTTTAGGTTACTTGTTCCAAGGATTTTGCTGGACCCAGCAAGGGAATTACTGAATATTCTGAGAACCATGTCTCCTGCCCTATGAGTGACCTTCTCAGTGTGGCGCCATGCCGCGGGGGTGGGGGGGTGGTCGGAGACAGACAGGAGTCTTCTCAGTAGCGGGGAGTGTGTGTATTTTAGGGTGTTGTGGGGTGAGCAGTCTGCCTATATTCTCCAACTCCGTTTGTTAGACACCACGGGCAGTATGGCTTTCCTTCAATTGTGGGGCCTTGTTTCTCTGAAGTGGCACCTGGATTGACTGTCCAGTTCTGAGGTTCAGGGTGAAGCAAACCGTCAGAGGAGTTGGCACCATGCTGCTGTTAAAGGTTAGCTTATGTCTGTTTTGAAAAAAAAAATTGCTAAAGCCTGAGTCGGGTGATATAATAGCAAATTCTTCTTCTGTTCAAAGAATAAATTTCAATTGCAGCTATTTGGAATTCTGGCAGCCATGAAATCTCACCCACCCTCTCTTCCTTCTCCTCTCTGCTCCTCTTCTCTTCCTCCTCCTTCATTTGATGCTCTTTCACATCCAAAACATAGTAAACTTTCTTTTATTAAGAAATGAGTTTGTGGCTACAAATTCACGTGATCAATTTTCCATTCTTACCCTTCATGTTCTGTACTCATCATCAAACTGACTTGACAATTCTGTTCATCACGCTTTTCAGTCTTCTCCAAAGCTGAGAAATTAACCTTTTCCTTCCACTCTCCAGTTCTCTTTTTACCTGCTCTTGCCATTTTTTTTCCAGAATAGGTGAAGAAAAAAAAAATCTAAGAAACATTTCTCTTTGCGTCATGTTATCAAGGCCCTCTTGTGGGATGAGATTCAGCTCCCTCACAGAGGCCCTTTCATAGCTAAAAATCTGGTGTTCAGCAATTACTTTTTTTTTTTTTTTTTTGAGAACTCCAAGTACATCCAGCCTTGCAGTTTTTGAAACAATCGGCTCTTTTCTTGGGTCCGTTCCTCATCTCACTCGGCTCCCCATAGAGATGGAAGACAGACCCTCTGTTTCTGTTGAAGGAGGACAGCTGACATTTATGGCCCAGCTGGAAGCAGAGGGCTGGACTGACTGAGGCAGGCTTTCGGTCTTCCTTCAGTTGGAATTGAGATATGGATTTGTTAGATGTTTGTTTAGCCTTATTTCAGGCTCTCCTATACAAATCCTGGTGGGAGATAGAAAGGAAAGCTGCAACATGTGTGTTGAACTTGGAATAAGAAACTTTAATCCTTGAAAAATGGCATTGTGTAAATTCCAGACTGCAACTAATCACAGTGGATTCAGACAGTGGCAGGAACGTTTCACTTTCCCTTTTAATATTCAGTGTGCACAACCATGCAGTAATGCGACCTTCCAAATGCATATTTCCCCTGAATTTCCTTCAGGCCTATATTTATTTTATTTGCTGAAACCCCAGTGGCTTATGTGAAGTGCGCCAGATGTTTTTCATCTGCAGACAGTGCACCTGACAGTAGGGGGCCAAGCAGGTTTGCCGTGGCCAGCTGTTCACTGGTGCCCTCCGCATCAGTATACATTTTAACTGCATGCAGCATGTAAAAGGCTCCGTTTATTGGACACTTATGTTCTGGGTCCTCTGCTACAGGCATTAGCATTATTAGCGCATTTATGACTTCTATGATCCTATGAAGTAGATCTACATCCTTGCTCAGCACTTCATTGATGAGAAAACCAGGGATCCCAAAAGATAAATAGCTTCTCCAAGGTCACAGAGCTAGAAATCAGAGAGCAAACCTGGGGTCTGGATATATATCATTAATGTGTTATATGGATGTCATTTCTAAACTAGCCCTCCTGCTTCTGTTAGATAAACCCCTATAAGAATGGTCTCATCTGTTGGTACCTGGGTCTCACCAATGCGAACTCAGCAGACAAATCCTACATAAGAATGCTCTCATCCTTGGACTTCTGGGTACTACTTTGTGTCAACGTAACAAAAGGCTCAGCCATTTTGATTTCCATAAGAGTATTTTTTTTTCTTCTCCAAGAGTATCTCTATGTGTGAGCATTGGTGCTTGAGTTTCAGTAGGTTTTACTAAGGATATGGAAAATCTTTACACATCATATAAACTCAGCTGAAATGATCTGCATTTCATGAATCCATATTGTTAGTGTCCGGTTTGTTATCACTCTGTCTCCTGCTAACCCTGAGATCATGCTCTGCTTCCTGTAGATGTTTCCAGAAAGACAGTTTCCTAAGAGGAATGCTGGAGCTACTTCCTAAGGCAGTTTCTTTTCAAATTCTGCCTCTGACTCCAAAGAAGGGAAGGAAGACTCCTGTTACCGCTATTCCTCCCTCCCTCCCTCTCTCTCTTTCTTTTCCCCTCTCTCTCTCCCTCCCCTTTCCCAAAGTATAGTAAAAGTGGAAAGTATTAAAGTAACTGATTATTTTCCAATATCAACAAAAATATTTCTATTACATTTTCAGAGAGTCCTTTTCTCCCAAGCTGCTCGTTGGAATGGTGTATTTACCACATTTACCCCCTCGTTCCCCCACAAATGGATGAAGAAGTCACTGCGGAGAAATTGCCTGCAGCAAACCCTTCCCCCTCCCAGGACCCAGGTAGGTGCTTGTGGTCTGTAGATCCCGGCTCAGTGGCCACTGGAGAGGACAACTGACTGGGGTCGAGGGACTGTCTCTAGACTGCCTTCTTCCCCTCGAAATGGGAGTCACCACTTGAGAGAAGAGAATCAGAGAACAAGAGGAAAGGAGGTGCGTGCCTTAAAGAGTAGAGAAGAGAGCCCGTGAGAGCAGACAATTGGTTGGAAGCAGGAAAGATGGAGCAGAAATTTGGCAAGCAAGAAACTCCATATGTACACACATCACCATCATTTCAGGAATTATTTTTCTAATTATAAAACGGATGTATATAAAATCATTTTGAAAATAAAATTAGAAAATGTGCAAAAGCTATAAATAAATGTGTAATAAATACGTAATTTCATCATCTAGAGAAATCTCTGCTGAAGCATATTTCTTTATGTTTTTTTTCTTTGTTTCTTTTTTTATGGTTGTGTGTGTGTCCATAGTGCTCTTGCTAGTGTATACACACACACACACACACACACACACACACACACACATACACACACACACACACACACACACACACACACACACACACACTCTCACTCACTCATGCGTGCACCCGAAATGACTGTACACCTACCCTTTAATTCCACTCAAAGTGGAATACATAGGGTTTTGCCTACCTGAGGGGACCTATGCATGGTCTTTCTCTCGTCTTTGTGCCTTTCCAGTGAACCTGGCACTTGTCCAGTTGGCTCAGCTCAGCCTTATAGATTCCTGCCCACCCTCTCAGGGTGATCCCCGACTCTTCAGTTGAGTCTACATAACCTCCCTTCTCGGCCCTCCTCTGGCTCCATCTGACACACCACAGGTAGAAATATCAATTTACACATAGTTTCTACCTAGAGGAACTGCTGGAGACAGCTGTGGATTCTTCTTTATCTTTCCCTGTGTCTATGAGCTGCATCATCCACGGCACATTCAATAGCAGAGCAGAGTAATATCGAACATGGCTTGGAGGTATAATCTTTGAAGGCTGACAGGCCTAGGTTCAGATCCATTCTTTAGCCAAAGTTTTACCATCTATGAAATGGGATATTAAAGGTGGCTATCCTTCTCTCAGGAATTACTGTGTTTATAGAGATAATCTGGGGAAAGTGCTCAGGGCAGTATGTGGTGAGAACTCCAAACTATGAATTCAGTAGTTCGGCAGCTCAGGGTCGGACAATAAAGTCATGTGAAATGTTTGCAGAACCATTTCCCCAGGTGAATTGCACAAGATAGAATGTGTCAGTTCTAGCTATCTGCAAGTGGACAGCAGGGATGAATTGAAGAGGCAGTGTTCATACGACCTAACCATGGCGCCGGCTACTTGAGTGGTCTCTATATTCCAAGCTCTTCACAGAATCTCAACTTGCGTTATAATCCTACAAAGGGGCTCCCACCACCTTGTCAGCTAAGACATTCTTCAGAGGAAGCTGGATTAAATGAGAGGAAAGCTTATTCTCTTTCATGATAATATAAAATCAGACAGTGT